AAAGATAAAGAAAACAAGCACCAAGCAGGAGAGCTGAGAGCCGCTGCACCAGAGCGCTTCGCCATCTTGTTTCAATGCGCTTTACAACTCAATCAGTCATTCACCCATTCACACGCTGGTGGGGATGAGCTATGATGTAGCCACAGCTGCCCCGGGGGCACACTGACAGAGGCGAGTCTGCCATACACTGTCGCCACCGGTCCCTCCAACCACCACCAGCAGGCAGGGGGGTTTAAGTGTCTTGCCCAAGGACAAAACAACAGGAACAAACTGAGCAGGGCTTGAACCTGCAACCTTCCGATCACGGGTCGAGCACCCTCATCCATTGGGCACACGCAGCCAAGTTTTCTGTACACCCTGGCATCGGGAGGGCAGTTGCCCTCATCTGCAGGTACATTGTATAGTGAGAGCCACCAGAAGTACCTGCAGAAGAGGGCAACTGCCCTCCCGATGCCAGGGTGTACAGAAAACTTGGCTGTGTGTGCCCAATGGATGAGAGGTCCCTGAACACTGGTTTGCACAAACAAACAGTTTGGGGGGCCGTTGCCCGGACCAGGGTCATGCTTGAGAGCCTCCATGACTTGGCGATAGATGCACCAAGCAACAGCGCCGACCACACAGGAGGGGGGATTGTTGTTGGGTTCTCATCATTGTCCAAGGAGAACTGCCAGGACAGGGCATCAGGTTTAGTGTTCTTACTGCCGGGTCTGTAGGAAATCGCAAAGTTGAATCTCGAAACAAAAAAGGAACCATCGATACTGCTTCGGATTCAGCCTCTTAGCCTCCCTTAGGTAAGACAAATTCTTGTGATCCGTTCATACGACTATTGGATGTTCTGCCCCCTCCAGCCAATGTCTTCACTCCTCAAATGCTAGCTTCACTGCCAAGAGTTCACAGTCCCCCACATCACAGTTACACTCGACAGGAGTGAGATGCTGAGAGAAGAAAGCACATGGGTGCAAACGATGATCTGTGGGGGAGACTTGTGAAAGAATTGCACCCACCCCTGTGTCGGGGGCATCTACCTCCAGGGTGAACGGCTGGGTGGGTTCAGGTCTGGTTAGTACAGGAGCCTTCTCATTTAACTCCTGGAAGGCCTGGTCAGGTCTAGGTGACCATATGAAAGGCAGGCCATAGTAGACAGGGAGAAACCTATTAATGCAGTCTCCAAGACCCGAGTTAACTAATGACTGAAAAACTGCTGGGGCATTTGTCAGGCCAAAGGGCATCACCAAGTACTCAAATTGGTCTAATGGGGTATTAACCCTTTAAGGCCGGCAGGAGCGCCAGCGCTCCCTTTTGCATATCTGTGTTCAAATGCTTGTCAAACCGAAACTATATAAGGTAGAGCAAAATTGGTTTGCACATTAAACTGGCGGAGTTTCACTTAAATCTCACACACTAATCGTGTCCCGGATTGCTGCGTATTTCTGCTAATGAGTTTGCCAAAAACAACCAAAATGCTCAAACAAGAAAAGCAGACGCTGTGTCGTTCTGATCTGCAGCTCACAGGCTTCACACGCTACAATAAACGTTATCACGTTGTCAACGTGAACTGTCACTTGACTATCACTCACCCAATCACCTGCTTTCATCATTTCCCTGTGAATTGTAGTTCTTTGTAGTCCCAGCCTTTCAGCTTTTTCTTGTGCTTTTTCGCCATAATACGTTTAGACAAACAAATCCTACATACATCACACACCCACTACAAACTCCAGACATACTCACACACCACTACAAACTCCCGACACACTCACACACACCACTACGAACGTTTTGATGACTCACGGACCCGCAAAATGGCACATCCTCCCTCCTCGAAGTGGTTGATGCCATTGCAGCGCCGGTTGATGTTTAAGTTTCACTTTCAGTTTCCTCGGGTTTATATTCATGAAATATTCTTTATTATTGTTATTAATATTAGTGAGAGAAAAGGAAAACTATACTACAGAAAAATGAGAAGGGGCAATGAGAAGCTGCAGTGTCTTTATTACATACTTGATGGAGTTCATGGTACTCTGGCGGCACATTGGGCAGGTCTGGATTCGGGAACGGGCTCCGTGCCTCGGCCCATTCCAGTGCCTTGCCTCGAAGTAACACTTGGAAAAGAGTGCTGTTTAAACTGGTGATGATTCAGGGAGAGCAGGTTAAACATGTGGAGTTTTAAATATTTGGGGACACAGATAGATGCTCATCTGTCCTTTCAACAGCACTCAGGTTCCATTTACAATAAAGCCCCCCCCCCCCCCCCCCCCCCCCCCAGTGCCTCCATCGCATCAGGAAATGAAGGGATTTTAATGTCAGGAAAAACATCTTAACTCTGGTCCACCAGTCAATCATATAATCCATTTTAACGTTAAGCATCACATCTTGGTACAACTTTCTCACCTGTAAGCACAAAAATAAACTCCAACGGATCACACATCAAGCAGGCTAGATAACGGGTTCACTACAAACCCCCTTTCCCTTCTGCACGAGCGCTCTGTGATCAAGAAAGCCACACTGATCCCAGAGGAAATTGGAGTTCTTTAGTAATCTGAATCAAACACTGATGGGGTTGCCTTCCTCATCTTCTAGAGGTGGTGGTTCTGCCTGCTGTGTGTGCACCGTCTTCAGTTCCTTCTGCTCAATTCTCCGGTAAGATGGAGCATACCCCTCAGTGAACATGCAGCTTCTTGGTGTCCTCTGGATCATGAAGGTGACGTCCACTGAACCAGAATGAGACATTTACAGTTTTTGTTTCTGTTTCTGCAGGATCATTGAGTGGATCAGAGAGACACCGAGTCACTGCCAAGACTCTGTCTGAAGTAGTGAAGATATGTTTGATCAGCTGTGTACCACAATCTAAACAGAGCTGGCTTTCATTAGAGTCTGCAGCTTGTTAGGAGAGGCTGGGACTGGTTGTCTTATCAACAAGTGGTTCATCCGCTGGTTACCATGGCAACATCCTCACTTCTGTCTGACAGAGATTTGAGTCGCCGTGCTGCTAGTTCTGATTGTCCCACCAGACGTTCTGTCTGCCACCCTCCATCCTCAGCAGAGCATCCTCTCTGCTGCTGGGTGTCAGTCACAGGCAGGAGGAGGTTTCTGCTCTAATTCCATTTTTGGTTCATTTTTAAACACAGATAAGGTTTTTCTTCAGTTTGCTGACGTTTCGTTTGCAGCTGCAAACATCCTCAGAGCTGACGCTGATGGTGGCGTCACTCACTCAGCGTCAGCTCTGAGGATGTTGGCAGCCGCAAACGAAACGTCAGCAAAGTGAAGAAAAACCTTATCTGTGTTTAAAAAAGAACCAACAATGGAATTAGGAGACAAGCACAGCAAGAACGTGCAAAAGATGTTTCTGATCTTCTGTAGAAACTCACAGCAACAAGCAGAAGAGCTACTCTCTATTTTGGGCTTTTTGTCATTCTAACTCTTTTCCCCCTAGAAGTTTGGTTGACTGTGATCATGAGAGACAACGAAACACATCTGGACCCACATCAGAACTTACAAGTAAACTGGATCACAGGGCTATTCCAGGCCTGGAGGTTCGGTGTCAGTACCGCGTCAGCTCAGGGTCCTGCGCCTGCTGATGACATCACATTGCAGCAAATCCACTTGGCTTTCACACTTAAGTTTTGGAGACATCAGCAGTTTTTTTTAATAAATTCTTGTTTGTCAACACCTAAATGTTTTTTATAATTGTAATTTGTTGTTAAAACCAAATTATCTTTGTTTTGTGAAAAATGCGAAACTACATAAAACCAACATCTGACTGTTAAAAACACAACAGTTCTTCTATGTGAAGCCACATCTGTTTGTATTAATGTGGAATGCATCTGTATATTCCTTAGTTGTTATGTAAATACATTCATTCATTAATTCATTCAAAATGTTGCTTGGTATCATTTCAATAAAGTTTTTATATTTTATTTTGCCCCATTCCATCACAATCAAGAGCTGTTGAGGGTCACCGTTTGATCCCTCTGCTTTTATTTTAAATTTCCTCTGGGAATTCTAGCACATTTTCTCTGAAAAGTGTTGATGTTTGGACGACAGGAATACAACCGCAAATTCATTCTGACCAATGAAAATCATCATTGCCAACGTGCAAACGTAACTTTTACGAACGTGGTATCGTAACCTCCGTAAGTCTTACGTTCAGGTTAACATCTACTGTGACGTAATTTGCAGATGCAGGACCCTGAGCAGATCTGGCGCAGACACGATATCCTCCACTTTTTAGTTTTACCTGCTTCAACACACCTGAGTCAGTCAGCAGGTCAGAGGTTGAAAAGAGGAAATGAAAACCAAAGAAACACAAACCTACAATACCCATGAGGCATCATAATGCTAACGTGAAACAGGGTGTGATAGAGTGTGTGTGCGCGTGCACACACACAAGGCAGCTTTTGTAGCACATGTCACACACACACACAGACGCATGCACGCACGCATGCATACACACACACAGACACATGCACGCACACACACGAATGCATACACATACACACACACACAAACAGATGCACACACGTACGCACACACACGCGTGCGCACACACAAGGCAGCTTTTGTAGCACATGTCACACACACAGACGCATGCACGCACGCATGCATACACACACACACACAGACACATGCATGCACACACACGCATGCATACACATACACACACACACACACACACACACACACAGATGCACACATGTACGCACACACGCGCGCGCACACACACAAGGCAGCTTTTGTAGTACATGTCACACACACACACACATATGCACACACACACACGCATGCATGCGCACACACACACACACACACACACACACACACACACACACACACACACACACACACACACACACACACACACACACACACACACACACACAGAGGCATTTCAATGTGCTTTCCATTAGGAAGAAAACAAGAACATTAAAATCAACGTGACAAAAAATACAATTTAAAAATGAAAAATAAACAAGTTAAAGTTAACGGTGAGCAAACACAGTGCAGAAGGTGCAGCATCAGAACATTTATTCAAAGGCTGATGAATACATGAAAAGCTTCTAGAGTCGGGTAACTGACTCCATCTGTGAGCTGCATAGTAGCTAAAAGCAGCTTCACCCTGTTTGGTTCTGACCCGGTTCTACCAGCTGATACACAGGAAGGAGATCCGACATGTGTTCTGGCCCCATGTCGTTGAGTAATTTATAAACTAGTAGAAGTAGAAGAACACAGACAAACATTAGGACGTGTTAGTGTACAGGCAGGAACATGGTTTCCACTGATAAATAGACCTTTCTGCTTCCAGAGTGGGGCTCAGATGAAGTTTAGGTGCGTGTCTTTGTCCACGCCATAGTTGCCTTTGTGCTCCTCAAACAAGTTGCTGAGCTCTTCCATGTACAGCTGGTGGACGGCATCGAGTTCCTCAGCTGTTGGCTTCATGTTCTTCTCCACCCGGATGGGCCGGCCGACTGCAGAGAGATGACAAGATGCAGGACAGTGTGTTGAAGAGCGGGGTTACATGATGCTGTCAGAGGTTTAAACCTAAAACGTACTTGAAACGGACCTGACTGCCGACTCACCTACTGTATGGATGGGTCGTCTGTAGGGGAGGAGACCAAAGGAGTACTGGAAAATGCCACGTGCATGGAACAGAGGCAGAGACACACCCATGATGCTTTGCAGTCGCTCCTGTGTCCACCTCAGCCAGGTTCCTCTGGGGTTCTCCACCTGATCGTAAACTTCATTCTCTCCAAAGGAGAAGACCGGCACCAGGTGTGTCCTGAAACAGGTTCAGACCAAGCAGAAATCTGGTTGATGAGCCTCATCCCCGTGTTCTACTTCCCTTCCTAACTCCAGATTTCCCCCATGACCTGCTTACCCGTGCTCCATAGCCATTTTGATGAAGCCTTTCTTTTTGGCCAAGAGCACATTGAAGGTACCAGGGTGAGCATCGAGGGCCTCTGGGGCCCCCCCGACAGCGATCACGATGGCAGTGCCACAGCGCCTTGTGCGGAGTGGATAACTGGCACTTTCTTTATCAGATGGGATCAGACCTGCAAATGAGGTGAAGAGAAGGAGTCACAGGTCCGTCCTGATGTCAGAACAAACAGTTGGGGTGTGGGTGACTAGATCTGAATGTGTCGGACCCGCACCAGCACACATGATGTAGTCCCTGAAGAACGGGGCTCTGAACCACAGAGGCAGCATGAGCAGGTAGCAGCTGAGGCCTGGAAACATCTCTCTGAAGCCTGTAGCATAGGTGCAGAAGTTAGTGAAGGCCCCCGCCACCAGCACGCCGTGAGGGTGGAAGCCCAGGATGTAGTTGTGTCTGGGGTCCAGGTCCGCCGTCTTCACCAGCTGAAGCAACAACAACATTGATGTTTATGCTTTGACGTACAGGAAAAGAGACCTGAAATACACAAAAACATTGTTGCCGCTGCCAATGGATCATTATCACCAGAGAAACAAAACACACACCTCCCTGATCCTCTCATTAAATCTCATTTATCAGCAGAACCAAGAGCCTCGTGGTAACCGTCCTGCGTTCCTTACAATGACAGAACGTTCGTGCGGACGGTCTGAATCCTGATTTATGAAACATGCGGCGGCCTCTCGTACCCACGTTGTTCCGCACTCATCTGATGATAAATCCCACCTGTGTGTACGAGGTGCTCGTGACTGTTCACCGTTGTTTACATACAGAAACGCCCTGAATTAACCATATTTGGTCACACCACATCTTCAGCTCATGAGGGAATTCCTGCGTTCTTCACGGGAAAAAGTAAAAAAAACGTTTACGGAAAAACTGAGGCACTGAGGGTGGTCAGGGGGTTCTCGTAGTTGTCCCTAGTTGAATATGGACCAGAATCTGATTAGTGCGGTTTGTCTGTTGCTCCCTAGAGGGTTCTAAAAAACAGCATACCTCCAGAAGGATCTCTTCCAGGAATCAGATCAATGCACAGACAACGCGTTCCCTCCAGAGAGCACGCTCTCCCGATCTTCCAACAACAGATATGCCATGCTACAATGTCAGATTCCTGTTGGTCACAGGTGTCTTTTGCTGGTTTTAGCAGCAGTTGTGTGATACAGTTGTCTGCCCACCAAGTCCATGATTTTCCCCTTTTCAGTGACGCACCCACTGACAAGCCGACTCTGATCATTGGCAGCTCCACAGTCAGAAACGTGGCATTAGAGACTCCAGCAACCATAGTTAAATGTTTACCTGGGGCCAAAGCGGGCGACATTACATCTTACCTGAAACTGCTGGCTAAGGATAAGTGTAAAAACAGCAAGATTGTTATTCACGCTGGCGGTAACGACACCCGGTTACGCTAATCAGAGGTCACTAAAATGAATATTTCTTCGGTGTGCAAGTTTGCCAAAACAATGTCGGACTCCGTAATTTTTTCTGGCCCCCTGCCTGATCGGACCAGCGACGACATGTTTAGCCACATGCTGTCCTTCAACCGCTGGTTGTCTAGGTGGTGTCCTGAAAACAACATGGGCTACATTGTAGCTCATTATTGTTAGGGCGTGAATGTGTGGATGACTGTTATGAAGCACCTTGGGGGGTTGTAGAACCCTAAGAAGTCGCTATACAAATTCAGGCCGTTTACCATTTTAAATCATCATATTGCTCAGAGTACAGGGCAAGGAGGAGGAGTAGCAACCATTAGTCATTCAGACCTATTAATATAGGTATAAATCATAAATCAGGCCAGCAAAATAATCAGAACACCTCAGCTACCTCTGAATGGGTGATACGTGCGCTGTGTGGTGTCACAGAGGACACGTCCCAGCCCCTGAACCACCTCTGTTGCCATCAGGATTAGGTAACCCTAACCCTACACCTCAGACTTCACCTACAACACCAGCAGCTGTCACCTCCAGAAGTTCTCTGATGACTCGGCCATTGTCAGCTGTGTGTCTGAGGGGAATGACCTGTAGTACAGGTCAGTCATCATGGACTTTGTAGACTGGTGTGAGCGTTACCACCTTCACTTAAACACCAGTAGGACAAAGGAAATGGTGACTGACTTCCAGAGAAACACCTCCTCACTCACCAGTAAACATCCAGGGAGCAGACATGGAGGTGGTGGATACATTTAAGTACCTGGGTGTTCACCTAAACAGGAAACTGAACTGGTCCAACAACACAGGTGTTCTGTATAAGAAGGGCCAAAGCCGCCTCCACCTCCTGAGGAAGCTGAGGTCTATCTCCAGCGGTCAACGCCTAAGGGCAATTTGGACAGACCAATTAACCTAACAGTCATGATTTTTTTGGGACTCATTCATAACTTGTCTTTTATAATCATTAGTTTAGGGAAATAGAAATAAATTCATTTTTATGAAATAAACTTGATTCTGTCTGAATTAATACGAAGTGTGTTTATGGTCCCTGATGAGAAAAACAAACGTAAACAGGGTAGCTTAAACATTCAAAGATCAACCAGGTTGATATTTCATATTTATCTGGAATCATCACATCTTGTTGATCGTTTGTAGATGTAGCCAATTGTCAACGCTACAGTAGAACCCCAAGTTTATTTGTGGTTTTCCACGGTGGAAGGTTACAATACTAGACTACTGCCTATGTGTACATACATGTACCTTTGTTGTTATTTATCTTCAAATTACCAGAGACCCACGGTTGTAATATTACAACATCAGATTTAAGTCTACAAAAATAAACCTTCCCCATTTTTTTCTTTTTAAAACCACGTTTACATTGCTAATAGGTCCTATTGTTCAGTTCTGCAACACTATTGGCTGTTAAAATGTGTAAATAGGCCCGTTTATCTGGCCTCCTAGAACAACATGTGAAAGGTTAAAAAAAGATTTTGCAGTTGTTTTCTAAATTTGGGTTTCTGGGGGTTAAGTGTTGCTGCTCCTATAATGAGTGAATTTCCCCACTGTGGGATCAATAAAGTCTATTCTATTCTATTCTATTCTATTCTATTCTATTCTATAAAAAGCACAACTAAACCAGAATGAGAGACATGTCCTCAGACTGGATCCACCGCTCTATCCTGCATGGAGGTTAGGGTTCTGGTTGCTGCACAGAACATGTTTTGTTTCTGCCAGAGTGTATGGTGTATGGTTGTAGTTGTTTAAACATGTCATGGACTTCCCAGCCAGACCTTCAGCAGTGTAGCGGCGTCTGTGTTCAAGTAGTTTGTTGTGCAGCTGATGACCCCGGCTCAGAGTTCATCACTGGCTCAGGCTCCTCTGATAGTCCCCCATCAACATCACGTGTAATCATCTAACGTAAATCTTTTTGGATCAACAAGCTCACTTTTAAACGTTAACTGGGTTCCTAAATAAAAGAAATCTAAAATGCATTGCAGGCTATCACCTCCTTCTTTTCTGATCCTGAAAAGAAACAGGAGATCATGTTAGAGAGCCTGATTAGTCATCTTCACTCTGAGGTAGAAATGATAAGGACTGTGGATCTATGGAATGAATGGAATAGACCCTTTATTGTCTTCGTATGTCTGGTTAGTCTCCTCACATTTTGGGCTAGATAAATGCACAACATTTAAAAAGCAATTATCAGTTCATACTGGTTAAAAGTTAGCATGTCTACCTTTAGATGAGACTGATTGCCCAGGTCAAAAAGTTCTTTATCCTGTTTGTTCTGCTGCGAACAGTCAGGTTGGTTAATGTTGCCCCCTTTGAACGAACTGCCAGACGATACGTTCTTCTTCGTACTTTTGCAACTTTTATTATCAGAAAAATGCCCCTGGTTCAAGCATCAAGCATCCATTTTTTTTCAATGGCCTCGTCCAACCTTTCTTCTTCTTCTCTTAAAGGACTAGTACAACATTTTCTTTTCTGTTTAACACCAGTAAGCATTATGGATAACATTTTAACTGGTAACATCATAGATTAACTAATATATATATCCTGAGACCTATATTGTTCAACCCTTAATGAAATAAACAGACTATATGGAACATATTCCAGTGTGCTACATTAACAGTAATTAGTTATAGTTACAAATGGCGTTTTCAATCTGGAATGTTAATTTCTACTAGGAATTATAGAATTATAGATGTCTATGGGGCTGGATGGTGGTGCAGTTGTTAGCACTGTTGCTTCACAGCAAGAAGGTTGCAGGTTTGAAACCTGGCTGCAGCTTTTCTGTGTGGAGTTGTATGTTCTCCCCACGCATGCATGGGTTTCCTCCGGATACTCCGGTTTCCCCCACAGATCACAACATGCCTTATAGGTAAACTGTTGTATGTTGTGTTGGATAAATCTCCTGCCAAATAAATAAACAAAACACATCTGAAGCACATATTTGGTCTGCCTAAAAGGCCACTGTCTGTTTTTTTGGGATTGTGAGATTTCTCAAACCAAATGCCTACAAGTGCAGTTGTTATTATCGGACAGTAAAATAATCACAAAGCAGTCTGACGTATCTAACTTGTTGCAGGGAAGGTTGCGTTGACAAAGATATACTTTTCAGCTGGCTGGGGAGTGCCAGGTTTGCTGTTTTCAGAAATGGCCGGGCCGTGACACATTTTCTGTTAATAAACAGCACCCCCCCTCATTCTTCCTGGTCCCAGAGCCAATCATATTTGAGCCTACCAAGTTGCCTAGTCTGCAACACCACCGCTGCATTTGTTATTCGCCTCCACTGTCCACTGTCGGCCACAGCCTCCAGCCATGGGGAGCCTCTCTCCCCTCTGGTAAGTTGCAAGAGTGGAGAGAAGTGAAGCACGCACACGGAGCAGTACAGGAGGATTTTCTTGTACCTAAGAAGCCTCCGTACTTTCCACTGAAGGACAACAGGAAAACTAAAACCAAGCTAAGCAATGGAAACTGGTGGCCGGGCTCTCCCTTAGAGATAGGAAGAGAGAAAAAAAAAGAGATAGGAAGAGAAGCTTGGTCATCCGGGAGGGGCTCGGAGTAGATTAACTCCTCCTCCACATCGAGAGGAGCCAGTTGAGGTAGCTCAGGCATCTGGTAAGGATGTCTCCTGGACGCCTCCCTGGTGAGGTTTTCCAGGCACGTCCAACTGGAAGGAGGCATAAAGGTAGACCCAGGACACGGTGGAGGGACTATGTCTCTCACCTGGCCTGGGAATGCCTTGGGATTCCCCTGGAGGAGCTGGCCCAAGTGGCTGGGAAGAGGGAAGTCTGGGCCTCTCGACTTGGGCTACTGCCCCCGCAACCCAACTCCTTGTTGGATCGTCCCCTTTGCCTCTGACTCCTGCTTTTGGCCTCTCCCTTGCTGGTTGTCTGCTGCTCTCTGCTCCACTGGATTATTGCCGACGCCCTGCCTCATTCCCAACATCCCCAGGTCCTTTTCCCCTTTTTCTCCTAAAATAAAACTCTTAATATGCCTCTCTG